CACGTGACACATCCCATTGATCACAGTGAGGTTCGCCCCAAACTCCAAAATCAACCAGAGAGGGATAATCAGGGGCCCATTGTCTTCCCTAATCAACGTCCCTTTCTCTGTAATCCTCATTGTCACACCACCAAGCGCGCTTTGCACCATAACAGTAGTGTCTGGTAAACATTCCCATGGAAAAAGCGTCCGCACAAGATGCGTAGCAGCTGTATCCACCAACGCCACTCTCCCTTCCTGCTGAAGCAGCCCAGAGCCACATAACATTCGAATACTGGGATCCCCGTTTGATGCCGACTGTTCTGATGACAGCTTCATAGATTTCAGCACCTCTAACGCTTCAACAAGGACCTGATTGGCCGTTGATGGCGATGAGGGACTTGCAGAACCTTTATCCAATCCCGCGTTAGCCGTCTCATCTCCCCCTTCAGCTACCTCTGCCTTTTTGGCATTTCCCCATTTCGCACCTTTGCCGCCCTTTCCCCCTTTGGGAGAATTCCCTTTAGATCTACTCCTCTCAGGATTCGAGTCCACATTGGAACTTGCACCATCCTTATATGGACATTGCGGCTGCAGATGGCCAACGGCCCCACACTCAAAACATCTTCCTCGTTCAAGGGAGTCTTTGTCATGGCGAAATTTGCAGCGGGATCCGAACTTGCACCCCGCATCGGTCTTCCCATATATCCAACAGAAAGGACGTTCACCATCTCCGCTGTACCTTTTTCCTTTCCCTTTGCCTTTGTCACCCTCCTCTGTCTCGTCACCAGTTCCCTTTTGGGCCTTGTTTAACCTGGCCCTTTTCTTGGCGTCCGAGTCCTGCTTCACCTCTTGTTCACCAGCACTATGCAATAGCAGTTCAAACTCTGCCTGTAACATTTCAGCTAGTTTTGTCGCAGTTTCAGAGGTCGGCGAGTAGTCCACCCCCAATTTCTCCCGAAAGGATGCCACTCTGAAATGAACCGTAGGGTGTTTCGCCAGCAACGCGGATGACAAACCATCCAATCCCTTGATAAGCAAGGTAGCGTCCGGCTCAGCCGCTCTCAACTCCCTCAATCGGGAACGCCATTGCGCCCATTGACGCACTCCCTTTATGGCCTCTGAGATCGAGGTTGCTGGAGATGGTTGCACCAAGAAGTTCAACATTGTGCTGCGCTCATTTGCTCCACCTGGTTGGTAGACCGTCAGCAATTTGTAAAATATCATCACTGACCCCAACATTCGAGTGGAAACGATCTCGGTCTTCAATCTCTCCGGGATCGCCTGTAGCAGCAAAGACACCGCTCTCTGCTCCAACAAAACATGCACAGTTTGAACCACCTTGAGCCCTTCCAGCTCAGCCTTGATGCCCAACCTTTCCAGCGGAGAAACACTCAACCATTTGGCATACGCTTGATATGCCTTTGAGTAGACGCATTGCCACCACACTCTTCCTGTATCTGTCAGCGAAGACAACATTGGTTCGATCATTGCGATCCAATCACCCAGTGCCGTCGGATTGCTTGGTGTGTAGTCTGCCAAAGTTGGAAGGCTCATCACATGCTTCCCGAGAGCCTCCGGACGTTCGGTTCCAGAACTATCACCAGTGATTGGCATACCACGTGGCACCACTGCTCCAGGAGGTAAACTGACCCTACCACCAGGCCCTTGAGGTAGTCCATGTCCTATACCGGGCGCAACAGCTGTGAGCGGAACCTTTTCTAATTCCAACTTCCCAGCGACCATTTTCCACCGATACGGAACATCATCCACCATTGTATATCCACCCGATCCTGCTGAGTTCTCTTGCGTTGCAGTTTCCCGAGCTGAAACAAAACCGGGCTGGTTCCCCACAGGTGCGGCAGAACCATCAACACCTGACGGCACGGAAGTAATCGGAACATGTGTTAAACCAGGCGGTCCACTTGCATATCCACCACTTGCAGGACCTCCCGTGGGGTAATTCAATGGAGGCAATCTGGAGGGTTTCTTCCCTTCAGCTACATGCATCATTGGCACTTCTTTTTCATCCTCCACTTGAACATCCCCCTTCCTGGACCCAGGCAAGGATTGAAGATCACAACCCTTTGGCAGGTCGTAGCCCTCAATAGGCAGCCATGTCCCATCAGGCAACACAGTCCAAAAACCACCCATACCATCCGTGTAGAAAACTTGTCCTGGCAGGTACTGCTTCTCTGGAGTCATTCCTAGAGGATATGCCGTGTTTGCGTCCACCACTCCAGAGCTCCGTGCCCTTGAAGCTGACCCAGATGCAGCAGAGGTATAGCTTTTTTCCTCCACCCGATGCAACCTGTTCCCCAGCTCCTTTGTCTGCACAAGCAACTCTTTCAGCGCACGCTTCACCACCGCCATATCTTCAGATTGCTCTTCACCACTAACATCAGGAATGAGTTCTTCGTCGGCTTGCACTCCACCAATAGTACCTCGTTCCATTTGTCCCATTAAGCCTGACGATGGTCTCTCAACAGGTGCAGGTTCCTGACCCAAAAGATCTTGCAGCGAAGGCGGTCTTCTCGTACCTTCACCACTCCTGTCCCCTCCGCTCGCGGGAAGACTTGCCGGCCTTGACTGCCTAAGTCTCATTTCTTCTTGAGCCCGCTCGCTCCAGAAAGGATTTGCTGCTTGAACCGGAACCACTTCGTTTTCCACCTGAGGCGTTGGTTGTATCATTGCAACCTCCCTACCATCTGTCAGTGCTTGTACCATTTGTTGTCGATCTTCACCCCCATCACCACGATTTCCTTCGGCTTCATTGGCCGTTGGCGACAGTCCAGGCTCAGAGCGACGCCGCATCATGTCCATGGCGTTAAACAAACGAAAAATCTTTACCAATTCCGCAGGAAGCCAAATTTGGGCTCATAACCTACGGGGGGCAACCGAAGGGGGACGAGAAACCAAACAGTCAACCCCAACAGAAACCCTTGATTTCCCTGGAACAACCAACAACAAAACCCAAAGAACAACCCAGCACACCTTTTCAGCAGGGCGCATTGCCCAGGGTCTTGAGCCTTGAGCCAAACATGATTTCCGGGTTTATTAACCCTTTCAACTCCCAACACTAACTCTTTTCTACAATACCAGTTGCAGCTCCGCACCCTAAACCCTAAACCCTAAGGCCCCCCTAGAGGGATGTAGCACCTGCCACCTTTGGAGCCTCTGCTGTCACCACCGGCTGCCCAACATGCATCGAGGCACGAAGCCGGTCAGTTTAGGGTCTAGGGTTTAGGGTTTGGGGTTTAGGGTTTAGGGTTTTGGGTTTAGGGTTTAGGTTTAGGGGTCAGGGGTTAGGGGCTAGCGTTTAGGGTTTAGGGTTTAGGGTTTGCTTTGGGAAGTAAGGGTCCACAAATGAGGTTACTTGCGGTACTGGAAACTGGAGTGACTCGAGCCATTAGAGCGACTGGTGACTAGAGCTTAGTACATCGAGTTCCCGAAAGGTTGTACACTGTAGACTATACATGCCTCCGTAACGCTGTGCGACCTCAATGAACTCTGTCTATGAAGGCCAAGATGAAGCTAGACAAAAGACATCGGCTGTGCACTCCCAAGCTTCAAACAGCCAAGCCTTGACCTAAACCCCCCCAAAACTTCCCCTAAACCCCCCCAATCCCCCCCAAAACTCCCCCCAACGCCCCCCTTAAGCCCCCCCTAAACCCTCCCTAAACCCTAAACCCTAAACGCCCTCCCTAAACCCGGCCCTAAACCCCCCCAGGTGACCCGCGCGAGCGGCCGGGTCTCGTCCCATCACTGCTGTCCTTGTCGCAGCTTGGGCTTGCTTGAAAGCTTGGTTTAGGGTTTAGAGTTTTGGGTTTTGGGTTTTGGGTTTTGGGTTTTGGGTTTCCCCCTTGTTATACTAACAGTCCTGAACAGGGAATATAGTAGGGGGATGCTCCCATCCGTGTTGGGGCTCGTGGGTTTACTGTTTTGGTTTTCGCAAATGACTGGCCCTCGAAGCCTCTGCGCATGTCAGTCACATCGGGATCTGACCTGCCCAGGTATGTCCTGTTGTGCACGAATGTCCCACAGCCACAGTTGCAGCGCACATGGGGGCCACCGTCAGCTTGTGGGGCAGGATGTTGAATTTCCGGGTTATGCGCAACCGTTCATCTGGCTTCCCGGAAGAGGGTTCGCGATGCAGGGCCCGCTGAAAGCCCGAAACCCATTTCAAAGCACCCTGAACCCTAAACCCTAAATCCCAAGCTTAAAGAACTGCGCAAGGTCCTCCGTACTTCCCCGTGTTCTGCAGCGCGCGGACTTCTGGTTTTTCTTTGGGCTGCACATGAGCCCTTGCCGAAACCTTGAAAGCTTGCAGGGGAATTTCGAGGGCTCTGGGGAGTTATGTGTGCTGGATTGTGTTGGGCTGTGTAAGACCTTTGGTTTGGGATGTGGAGGTTTACGATAAGGGACCCCCGACATAGACCCCCAAATAGTGGGATTACCTTACAAGAAGGACCCCAAAAAGGTACCCCCCCCCCCTGTATACCGTTACCTGCATTGGAAGGTCAAGTTTTGACTGGGGCCGACCTGGGCGCCTAGGGCAGGTGGGGCCTGGTCAAGGCAGATCCATAAAGGTATTAGAATACCAGCTTTGTTTAGAATAGTGCCTCGCGCTGTAGTTCGTTAAATCTCATGCCACTCAGCTGGTCTCTTCTCTCCTTGTCAACGGTTATTCCTGGACGTCCGTGATATTTATACATGGATTGCAAGACATGGACACAAACCTATTTACTACACCCAACAGTTTCGGATCGCACTGCGCAGGCTAAAGTTCATTGTTGCGGTGCGTCATTATGTTAGTCTAGTGCTGCTGTCGCAGCATCCGACTCCCCCTCCACCCCCTGCACGTTCCGAACCTCCCCAACTCGGTGTTCCCGGACCCACAAAGGCCACCTACATTGAATTTTGCCTTGAGGGGTCTGGGTTTCAGGCACTCGCAACCCAGCAAAGGGCCTGCAATACCGTAGCCCCAGCCTGCAAACCCTTAGCTTGAGCTTGCTTTAAGGATGGTTTGGGCTCTCTTTCAACATGGATGGAGCGGCTTTCAACATGGATGGACGAAAGACACAAATGACTCCGTCGGCATCGACTGGATCGACTGCTGGGTCGACCTGACCCTTTGAGGCAATTCAGCCGTCATCATCATCATCATCATCATCATCATCATCTCCAGCGGGCCGCAATCATACGCGGGTTGTGCAGCCAAAAGAAAAGAAAAGCAATTCAGCCGTGTTTGGGTTTAACGCGTTGGTGATTTTCCCCTGGTTATTGGAGAAGTAAGGTCAAGTCAGGGGTGTAGGGTCACTTTCTGACATGCCCTGGCCAGCACGCTGGCTGCGTCCTCAGTCCGAGACTGCAAAAGCCCGAGACCTAGACCCCAACCATAACCCCAAAAACCCTAAACCTGAAACCCTAAACCCGAAACCCTAAACCCTCAAAGACCCTAAACCTTAAAGCCCAGCATCTCGGGTGCCTCGAACATCCAGGGCAGCCAGCGGGATCAGTGGCTTTCATGCCTCTCCATTAGTTTTTCCGAATGGTATACGGATATGTAGTCTCGTGCACTCCGGAGCAGGCACCCCGCAAACCTGGTGTCCTATGTAAGGCGAAGAGCTTGCATTTCAGAATGAACAGCAGCTATCCTTCCACACTATCTCGTCTAGGCGCGCCTTCGGGGGTTGGCGAAGTTCCGGTTCATTCTGAAACGGGCTGCAAGAGACGTGGTAAGTATGTTTGAAAATGGTGCCCCAAGTTCTTGTCCCAGTGCTGAGGAAAATGGTGACCATGATGGTTACTTTCTTCCTGGCCTTCTATGTGAACCAGTGCTTCGGGAGCGGTGCCTCCTGCGCGTCCTGCAAAAATTCCGCCCCGGACTCCCAGAAAACGAAGCCGTGACGAAGCCCTGTAGGCAAAGCCCACACACTGTGCACAAACTGTGCACAAACTCCCCATGACGGCCATTTCCACAGGAGATACCAGCACATCTGCGCGACCACGCAGAAAATGTTCGGCTCGGCTCACGATTTCATCTACCATGCCCGCCTGTTCATACGAAAGCCAGGCAAGCCGCATGGTGGCCGCACGAAGTTTGGCGGAGTGCGTTTTGGGTTCTTGCCGCCTTTGGAAGTGGAGAGACTTTCCTTGATCCTTGCCATCCCTACCACTTTATATGCGCCAGAATCCCAGATCTGAATGCGTCCCAGGGCATTAAGATTATCGGTTGCAAAGGCCAGGGTGCTAGTGCCGGAGTCGGTCGGGGTGGCAGTACATGGCTGGGGTGATGCATGGTGACATGCCAGCATGAGCAGCGGATGTGGTGGGTATAGAGTAGGACCTACATAGGCCCGGGCGTTTTTCTGGAGCTTTGGGCCTTGGAATTCTGAGTGGACTGCAAGATCACGGCCCCAACTTAAGAGTGTTTGTTGGAACGAGCCCAAGGCTCTGGCAAAGACATGCATCACCTCTTTAAGGGTAGATGATATCCTGCTCCCCCCTGCGGTCCTTGAAGTGCTCAGGTACGACCGCCTCTGCAGCCGCTGGCTAACTGCAGCCTCACTGTCCCTTAGTGGCAGCTTGATGTAAACCACCTCTGCCACGACCATGTAACTTGATGCCCCACCGGCCGGATGTAGGCCCTGATAGGGTTCAGCTCTGGACTAAGTTCCTAAACCCTAAATTCTAAACCCTAAGCCCTAAACCCTAAACCCAAAACCCGCATCAGCAGAACCCGGAATTCCTGGCATCGGCCCTCCCTGAGGCTCGGAGTGGCTCAGCTGGAGAGCCGCGCCCAGACAGATCTGGACCTTGCTAGCACATGTAGCTGCTCGGTCGGGGTGCTCTTCGGCTATTTGGGCGTTTTTTTTTTGAGAGGTTCGGGTGGGTGCGCGCGTGTGTGGAGTCGCAAGAGCTCTCACCCCAATCTCGAAACCCTTCGTCCAGGTGTTGAGGCCTTGGCTTTGGCCTTGCAATCCAGAATCCTAAGTCCCTTAAGCCTTAGAGCGCCATAGAGCTTCGTAAGGCTTAGGGTTTGTGGGAGTTTTTTGCCCTTTCCGCTTTGAAGGGGCAGCAGGGGTTTCTTCTTCTTGGCAGATCTCGATTCTCTCAGCTCAAAGCCGAAGCCCTATTCTTACCCCCCTGAAGCCCTAAACTGGGATCAGGCTCTGAGGCACTCCCAGGTTTGTCTATAGTCGAAAGGTCCAGGACCGAAGCTGGGCTTCACGTGTTTCACACTTGCTGCGGGCCTGGCTCCCCATGAGCTTCCAAGCAGCTTTGCAGAATTTAGAATCCCGAAAGGCTAGCATGATCAATGCCGCAGGACGAGCAGCAGTGGAAGTCCTTCGTCGCTTCCGGCTTAGTCAGGAAAACTGAGGCAGGATGTGGTTGGTATCGCAGTGCGTGGTGTACGGTGTGGACAGTTCAGTACTTGGCCACAGGGTTTCAGTCATCCATGAGAATTATGTCGACAGAGAACCCGGAGGAGTGGAGCGAGGTACAAATCGAGAGACCGCAGCTCACAGCTGAGAGAGGTCCCATCGTGGACTCCACCAAACCAGCCCTGAAGCCTATTTTAGGGGCCTTGATAATCAGAATAGGGTTTTGGGAGGGGTCATTCTAGTATTATAAAGGGGCCATAAAAGAATACTATTAATGATCCTTTTCAGCCTTCGGCATCCTGGAGACTATGGACCCTCAAAATATATCCTTCAAATTTCGAAGGCCCGAAGTGTCAACCTGCCTGGAGGTGGAGTTCCTACGCGGCCTGGGAGGTCCGCCAGGGCTGGGCTAAGGGACTGCTAGTTTCAGCTTCGGGTTTGTGATTTAAGTTTTGGGTTTAGGGTTTTAAGGTTTAGGGTTCCGGGTTCAGGAGGCTTGGGGTGGGAAGCCGGAAGCCCTGCTTTCTTACAGCGATTTGAGAAGGAGTTGCAAAGAAATATCGGTCTTCTTGGGAGCAGGGAGTTGAGGCGTGTGGGACATTTTCCTTGTTGGACCGCAGGAAGTTGCAGTCATCTCGGCGCTGAAGCCTTGCGTGAGGCTTTAGGTTCTAAGGGTAGGCCCTTGCGACATTTTATATGTTTCCCCTAGTGGGTTTAAGAGCATCGAATTCAGGAATATTTTTCAGCGGGTTTTAAAGGCCATGCTAGTTTCAGCTCCTTGGGACTTTTGACCCTTGGGCTCCACTAACGCTCCCGTTTCTCACGACATGAGCCTCATATCGACATGCATATCTGCGAGCCTGGAGGGAGAGTCTCACGAATGTCATACCTTGAGCCCCCAAGCCCCTGAAGTCTTCAACTCTGTTCTACAACATGTTCCACTCAACATAGCTGTTCTATTCTTATTGGGGGTATAAGAAGGGGTACCCCCTATTTAGGGAAATGCCCACCTAGCGCCACTTGGAGGCCTTGGGCGTCTCCTGGTGCTGACGCAGATGGCGGGCGAGGTGGTCCGAGCCGGGCTCGAGGTGCGGCTCCCAGTTTGGCCGGGCCCACAGTGCCGTAGACTCCTACTTGTATGTGGGTGGCTGTCAAAATTACGATCCCTTTTTGGGGTACCGAAAATATCAGGTGCCGCATTATAATAGGGATCCAAAAAGGGCCCATAATTTAAACACCCATGTGTCTAGCCAGAGGGCAGACGCTACTGTAGAGCGCGACATGCTACTGCAGTGGGGAATGGGCTTGGGTTCAGCCCCTAACTTGAGTGCTCATCGTGGCAAGTTTTGCTGCTTCCTTTCATTCTCAACGGAACTTTCGAAGCCCTGCAGGGCCAGAGGGCAACGGGAACCCAAATTGCGCCGCCTTCTCCTGCTTTGGACCCCTCTCCCCTGACGAGCACATCCGCCCGAGATTTTTGGAAGCAGACATCTGCCACCTCATGCTGAAAGACTTCGGGAAGCCCAGGTGAAACAAGTGGAATGAGAAGCAATTCTCTCCCCACCTTCTCTGTTGATGCCTACAGTCTTTCCCATATCAAATTCAGGGATGCTGTGTTGGAAGGACCAGGTCTTCTCCGTGTCCTCTCTCCTACTCCCCACGGTTTCCCTATCTCTCCGGTGGCCAATCCTTGACGATCCCGGCTCTACTTGCTGCTCTGTTGCAAAGGGCTTGCCACCCTCTCTATGAAGCCAGGGAGAGGCACAAGGGGTAAAAGCAACATAACCATCCGCAAGAAACTCAGAGTGAGGCACGTTTCAGTTTTTCTTCTTCCAGCGTAAATCGTTTGCTCAGGTCCCCAGCCTCACGGTGCAAACGTTGTGTTGAAAAGAAGCACCTGTGCAAGATATGTACAACATCTCGCCCTGGGCCTGTAACCCTGTTCACTTTAGTCTTAGCACATATTAAAATACGCATGTAAGCATACTGTGCCTCGCAAAGGCAGAGGGAAAGGCGGACTCCACGACGGACACCGTCATGACAGAAATGGTGGACAGACTCCTGGTGTACAAGGAACACCACCAGGAGCGCCAGCGGCTACGGGGCTTTGTGGACAAGTTTAGCCCTCGGAATTGCAAGGTAGTTATGACTTTTAAACATGATTCCGCGATTTTTGCTGCTTATATGGAACAAACGCCACCCCTGGCACAACAAATTCGAAAAGCAGCCTTGTGCTCCAAGAAAGAACCGACACGGTGAGCCTGAGCAGGACTTGCTGGACCTTTCTGGCGTGCAGGTGCCGCTACACTACCAGCACCTGGTGACAGCTCCTACGGCTTGACATGAGCAGAATGTAGCGGGGTTTTCAGAATTTTGTGGGGCATGATAAGGGGAAGTAGGGCCAAACGGTGCGACCTAGGTCATGGTCTTTGGCAACCTGCTGTTTCTGCCCCTTGGCTCAAAGGCTTCCGAGTACTTCGCTGCAGTCTTCAGGAGAATTTCCCAGCGTCAAGTATGCACAAGTTCATGGAGTTGTTCCGAGACCCTGCGCGAGTTTGGGAAACCAACACAGACCAAGGTCTTATGGCATGGCGCTGACAAAGTCCTGGCTGGCACCCTGCACCCCGGCACAGGGCGGGTTTTGCTAGGGGTCAGGGACATTCCCTTATGGTCCCTGTATATGTACGATAAGAACCCCCCAAACCCTATTCTAATCATTAAGGCCCCTATACAAGTGTGTTGCTCAGGAGGCCCTGGGCCCACAACAACGGCGCTGAGCCAAACAAAATCCTTGAAGCCGGAACTGGCAGCTACAGAAGTTCGGCCCAAAACCTGACAACGAAAGCACAACTTTCCTATCTCCTGCACCGCAGGCGCTGCAGGTTAAAACCCAGAAGGCTCCGACAAGACACCAGGACCCATCCAGCGGTTCCCGGAATCGTTGAAAAATCGATTTTCCCGCGAAGCATCTCTGAAGCAAGACACATTGGGATCTTCGGCTGCTGCCCTTCTTAGTGCTTGCACAACTCTACATGTTTAGCAATTTTGGAGAGTGTGCCGGCCGGCTTTAGGGACAGTTTGGACCACCTTTGGATGTTGATCTGGTGGTCCTGGCTTCGAATTCGGATAAGTTAGACTGTTGTTGCAAGCTTGAAGGTGTATCTCGAAAGTCCGTGATGGCGTTCGCGGAAGTGGAACTAGATGCTGCAAGTCTGTTGCGTTGCATGCTCGAACACAGTGCCTGCAAAGGGTCGAACCTCTTGAGCTCTGCAAAGCATGCAATCTGAGAAGCCGCACCCCAAATCTTGCGCTCCTGGGAGACGACATCTCGCTGGGTTGGGCTTGTAGCATTAATCGAAAACCATGGTTCGGTGCATCGGCCATCCACGCGCTCGGAGTTTCGGATACGCCTGTGGCGACCTGGGAAGTGCCGATCCCTGGGATGCCCCATTCGGGTTCGACTTCTGGGGTTGAGGGTTTTTGGGGTTTCGGGGTTTGGGGCTACAGATTCAAGGTGTTTGGGTGGGTATCCGCAAAAGTCCACGATGTGGCTGGCGAAAGTAGACTTCGCGAAGAGTCCATTGTCTGGTAAAAGGAGTTTTTCCCCAAACAGGAACCGTTTGGGGTCCTCTCCTCAGAAAAATAAGGTGTCACGCGCTTGGCCAGATGGGTGTCACGCGCTTCGGGCCTGTGGTCTCCCATGGTCTCCGATCATGAACACAATTGGGGCCATTGGGGTCGGGTGGGTGTCACGCGCTTCGGGGCCTGTGGTCTCCCATGGTCTCCGATGATGAGGGGTTTGGGAGGGTGTCACGCGCTTGGGTCCGTGGTCTCCCATGGTCTCCGCTCATGAGCGCAATGGTCCGGGTCCGTGATCTCCACGGTCTCCGATCATGAGCGACAGGGGTTGGGAGGGTGTCACGCGGGTCTGGTCCCGGTCTCGCGTGGTCTCATGGCCTCCCGATCATGAGCGCGCTGGGGCTGGGCGGGTGTCACGCGGTTCGGGTCCGTGTTCCCCCACGATCTCCGATCATGAGTGAAGGGCTGGGAGGGTGTCACGGTTCCATGGTCTGCGGGCGGGTGTCGGGCGATTCGGGCCCGTGGTCTCCCATGGTCTCCAGTCATCAGCGACAGGGGTTGGGAGGGTCTGGGGCGGTTGGGTCTGTGGTCTCCCACGGTCTCCCGTCATGAGCACAATGAGGCTGGGCGGGTGTCGCGCGGTTCGGGTCCGTGCTCTCCATCGTCTCTAGGGCGTCACATGCTTTGGTCCATGGACTCCCATGATCTCCCAGTGCGAGCGCAATCTACGGGGTCACGCAGTCGGGTTCATGGTCTCCCATGGTCCGATCATGGGGCTGGCGGGTGTCACGCGGCCCGGCTCCGTGATCTTCACGGTCTCCGATCATGAGCGACAGGGGTTGGGAGGGTGTCGCACGCTTGGGTCCGTGGATTTCCGTCGTCTCCGATCATGAGCAATGGGGTTGGGCGGGTGTCACGCGGTTCGGGTCAGTGGTTTCCCATGGACTCCGATCATGAGCAACAAGCTTGAGAGGGTGTCACGCGCTGGGTTCGCGGTTTCCCGGCTTCTCCGATCGTGAGCGCAATGGGGCTGATCCGGCTCCGTGGTCTCCATGATCTCTGATTATGAGCGACAGGGGTTGAGAGGGTGTCACGCGCTTGGATTCGTGGTCTCGCATGGTCTCCTATCATGAGCGCCATGGGGCCGGACGAGCGTCGCGCGGTTTGGGTCCGCGGTGAGTGGCAGGGGTTGGAGGGTGTCACGCGATTGATGGTCTCCCATGGATCATCTGGGAGGGTGTCACGTGCTTGGGTCCGTGGTCTCCCATGGTCTCTGAGCACGCTGGGCGGGCGTCACGCGGTCCGGTCGCGGGCTGTCATGGTGTCCGATCATGAGCGACAGGGGTTGAGAGGGTGTCACGCGCTTGGGTTCGTGGTCTCCCAACATCTCCGATCATGAGCGCAATGGGGCCGCCGTGGTGAGCTACAGGCATTGGGAGGGTGTTCGCGCGTGAGGGTCCGCGGTCTCCCACGGTCTCCGATCATGAGCGCAACGGGGTTGGGCGGGTGTCACGCGGTCCGGGTCCGTGGTCTCCCGTGATCTCCGATCATGAGCGACAGGGGTTGAGAGGGTATCACGCGCTTGGGTTCGTGGTCTCCCAACATATCCGATCATGAGCTCAATGGGGCCGGGCGGGTGTCACGCGGTTCGGGTGCGTGGTGAGCTACAGGCATTGGGAGGGTGTTCGCGCGTTTGCGTCCGCGGTCCCCCACGGTCTCCGATCATGAGCGCAACGGGGTTGGGCGGGTATTCGTGGTCTCCCATGTCTCCCCCGCGTTTTAATGCGTTCAGCTGTTTTCGCCTTCTAAAAAGTGCACAAAGAGAGCACGGCGTTGCAAATGTGGAAAGCAAGTCCAAATGCGTTTTTTAGGCCTGGCAAAATGCATTCGGGCAGCGCTTGGACATCCATGTCTACTGGTATTTTACGACCAACATTTCCCCGACATGCATCTGAGGGCATTCCACATGCATTTTTCGTCGCCCGAAAACGCATTTGGCACTGGTTTCCTATCATGTTGCAATCTTGGGTTCTGCCGGCTGAAATTTCATGTCTTTCTGCGCATAAGAACATCTATATATAGGATTTGAACGCGTTTAGAACCATAGTCACCGTTTCGCAAAATTCCCGAAAAGGGGCCTAAAATCAGAAGCAACATGCCCAGATGCATTTTGCAAAGCAGGCAAAATGCATTCGCGCAGCTTGCTCCTTCCAAACCACAATAAAAAACTCGCTTGATAGCTGACTTTTGTGTCAAAGACAGAGGCCCCGTACGGAAGAAACCAAAGTCCGAATGCATTTTTTGCCTGTGCCCAAATGCATTCAGCTGTTGTCGCTTTGAAAAAGTGCAGAAAGAGCACGCGGCGTTGCACATGTGAAGAGCAAGACCAAATGCGTTGTTCAGGCCTGGCAAAATGCATTCGGCAGCATCTGGTCATCCATGTCTATTCGGTTTGCTCCATTACAGCATGAAAAACAAACGAAAACAACAAAAAATAGATGGGTGTTTTACGACCAACATCTACCCGACATGCATTTCTAGGGCATTCCAAATGCATTTTTCGTCGCCCGAAGAATGCATTTGGCACTGGTTTCCTATCATGTTTAGTCTTGGTTTCTGCTGGCTCATGACGTATTCGATTCTTCTGATGTGTTTTCTGTGCATCAAAGTAGCTGTAGGAATTGAAAAACGTGTTTAGAACAATGCTCGACATTTTGCAGGAGTACCGAAACAGACCCAGAATCAGGAAGAACATGCTCAGGTGCATTTTTCAAAGTGGGCAGAATGCATTCGCGCAGCTTGCTCCTTCCACAACCACAATAAAATTGAGTTAACCGCTGATCTTTCGTCGTAAAGACAAGCTGCGTACAGAAGAGGCGAATGCGCAACTGCATTTTTCGCGCGCGCCTAAATGCACTCAGCTGTTTTCGCCTTTGAAAAAGTACAGAAGGAGAGAGCATGGCGTTGCAAATGTAGAAAGCAAGACCAAACGTATATTTCAGGCTTAGCAAAATGCAGGTGGGCAGCGCTTGGACATCCATGTCAATCCATCGTTTGGATTGGGAAAGGGTTGTTCCGACCCCTGGCAGCTCCAAAGAGAAGCCTGAAACCCACGCCTCCATACTGAGCCCAATTTTTCTGATTGTAAACTCGGCCTGCCGAATTCTACGCGTCGCGTTATTGCTTCATCCCGCTTTCCCTTGATCTGCAATCTTACTGTTTGGGGTCTTCGCCGGCATAATTATCAACCCATTTATTAAGCATTTGCCGGCTCCACCGCTCGGAATAGCGAGAGACTCCCCGAGACAACTCATGGCCCCTAAACTGAGGCTTAGCACCCTAATCAACCGATGAGTGACGCTCGGCCCACTTGGCCAAGGCATGTTCCTGCTCATTTCCATCATCTTGATCGGGATGATGGACGCAACCTGCCTAAGTTTCGAGGCGGTTGGGGAGTTGGTATTTCCCCACCCTCGGTGTGGGGTTGTTCGATTTTAACTCAACTCTTCTCCTCGCCCGGTCTACTTCTCCTCGCCCGCAGTCATGATTTTATTGCATCGCTTCCGCTTCCAGTTCAGATGATTTCCGGGTTCCCCTGAGGCCAGCTTGGATTAGGCATCGCATCGCATGATGGTTGGTTCGCTAGCCCCTCTCGACTGGCGTCGTTCTTTGACGTTCAAGGGGCGGAATGCCCGTCATCCTGCCCCACGCTGGCTCCATTCTCTCCCAAAAAATTAGGCCGCCGATGTGCGGCTTCCTCCCATGAGCGGTTGGGATGTGTCCGTCGAGTGCCAGGGTCCCGAATCCGGTGTCTCCAAGCCTTAAGTTGTCTGCAGCAGGTGGTCGCGTGCCTCGCCCCGAAGTGGGGACATTCCTCTCCGGAATCCCTGGTGAGGGTGTTTCCTGTGCGGGGGTGCCCCCAGAGACCAGCGGGACATCGTTGTTGCATTCGCTATCGCCTGGAGGCCGCCGCGCGCAAAGCGGAGTTTGGGCATTTCGGTTTCTTCGGTGTAGGGGCTACATCCGGCGCGCACTTCTTCTGCTTCGCGCTAAAGCGCTCAGGTGTCGGCGCGGCTGTGGAACCCATTTGGCGCCGAATCTACGGGCTTTGCCTTGCAGATGCGGGCCGCCATTGATTAGCGTCGGGGTCGTCTTAAATCTTCCTTTGGACTTAGAGCCCTTGCTTGGCCAAAAGTTTACTGTAGGGCTTGGGGTATGGGCATGAGCAGCTTGAAGCAGCTGGGCTCCTCATGAATAAAAAGCCATGCGCCCCAGACCATAAAGCCTGGAATCCCAACGCTTTGAGTGGTGAAACGCACAGACGCCAGGTGGGCAGGAGAGTTCCTCGCCGGGGCGCGTGCAATCCTGGACTACGCGCCTCGGCCTGCTGTCGGCTGTGTAGTATCTTTTGTGCACACACATGTATTGGTTGCGTGTGCATGTCAATTCTCATGACTTTTTCGTCATTCTCCACTGCCCTCCCATCATACCCTGCCATGACCCACCACTCCCACCAGTACCTGCCAGTCCCCGCACACACTGCCCACCACTCCACCATTACCCACCATTCCTCACCATCCTACCCACCACGGCCCAGTCACCATGCCCACCATGCAACACCATTGCCCACCGCCACCATTCTTACACTTTCCTACCATTCCCACCACTTCCACCAAGATTGCTGCCAGTCTGGCTACTCCCCATCCCCACCATTATCCACCCTCACACACCGTTACCCGCCATCGATTCCTATCATTTACTCCACATTCCTACCATGCCCAGGACTCCCACCATTGATGCACAATTACCCGTCGCCCGCCATGACGCCCCACTCATCATTGTCCACCAGCACCCGCCACTCCTCCATTTCCTGCCAGTATACCAGTCGTTCTCTACCATTCCACCCATTACCCTCCCACCACCGCCCAATACTAGCACTCCCACCATTACGCAGCTCCACCATCGGTATACCAGTACCCAGCATCCCACCATTGCCCAGCATTCCCGCCGCTACCCGTTACCGACCATTACCCGCCATTGTTGCCAGCACCACTCGCGCCATTATCCACCCCCATCCACCACTACGCACTGTTCCACGGTTACCCGCCATTCTTCCACTGCTCACCATTCCTGCCATTACCCAACGATTCCCGCCATTCCCTTCACTCACACCCATACCCACCCCTACAATTTAGCCCAAAGAATCCGTAGAATGAAATTCAAAACATTTCAAAACCCTCGGATGAAGGTGGGGCTCCCGAGACTAGAAAAGGGAACCCGGCGGAACAAAAGTTTGAAGCCTACGGGTGCGAGGCTCGCAAAAACACTCCGAGAATACACGTAAATAAATATGACCGATATGTAAGCATATAGAGTAGCAATATACGGCATTGTTCTGAGTTGTTCTGAGTGGTTTATTGATTGGCTTTGGCTTTGGGGCCCATGAACATGATGAGGTGCGGTTTCGACAAGGCTAGGGTTTAGGGTTTAGAATTTAGGGAAACCGCAAGCCGCCCTTTCCGCAAGCACCCACGTCCACCAGCGAGGCGAAGTTGGTTTCCAGTTTGCTCCTCGAATAATAGGGTTTGAAGTTCAAATTATTGTATTTCTATTTTAATAATGTTAATAAAATTGTTGGAATTATGATACACGATAAGAAAAATGCTTAGTACAGGGGCCTTAATAATTAGAATGGGGGTTTGGGGGGTTTATTAGTATGTTTATAAAGGCCCCATAAGGAAATGCTCTTAGTACTTGTTCCGACCCCAAAACCCCTACACGCCAAGGTCCACCGCCTGCGCCCTAAAAGACTTCGTCCCATCCCGCCCAAAACTTGATTGGTTTATGATGCCATTGTTCTCAATAGTTCCAGATTTCAGGAGCATGACGGCGCGAAGGAGGGCTGGGCCCATGAACTCCAGGAGGAGCGGGGCGGAACCCGGTTTGGCGAGAGAGTTTTGTTGGAAGGCCTTTGGAGAGGTCGCTGCTCTTCGGGCTTGTTTGGGACCGGGGCGCGAGCGTCTTTGCTTCCTCTTCATTGGTTGGGAGGTTGAGTCTTGCCTGAAATGTATGTTCGGGGTTTCCCTGATTGTGCCGGCCGGCTCGACTCCTCAATGGTGATGGGAGAGAGAGTCGCAGTCATTTTCGCTCCCCGCTGTAGACCAGCGCACCACGTCGTCGTTGTGTGAATGAATGTGCTGTGGTGCGGCTGGCTTCTCTGCTTGGCGAGGCTTATGTCAAGGATGGTGGCTTAAATGTGCAAACGTTACTGGTGCGTGCACGCTTTTGGAAGTGCGTGCTCCCGGTTCGACACGGTTGCAGGCGGTGGTTTAGATGCAAGTTGGGATGCTTCGGTGAAGGAGCATGGCTGTAGCAGCGCAGCGGCAGCAGCCGGCTTTTTGTTTTGCTTTCCGAGCGGTTGCTGGGGGGGTCGTTTGCTGGCCTGCTGCCTTGGGCCAAGGTGATGGCGTCGGTAGCTTTGGGCTGTTGCTTTCGACGAACTGCGGGTGATGGAGGTTCGTGGTTCCTCACTATCTCGCCTAGTTTATCGTTTGCTTGCGTCCCAGGTCATATGGTAGAGGAGAAGGGCAGACGGGTTTGCATTCAATTCCTTCTGCCGGCAAAGGTGCCTGTTGCCACGCCCCAAAACCTTAAACCCTAAGTCCTGAACCTCGAACCTTAAACCCTAAACCCTCAAGAAAGGATAGGGGGGAAACTGGTCACGATGCTCGCGTGACTCGTATGCTCAAGAGCCTGCATTCCCAGAGCAGGAGCACTACGCCAACATCAACCTCCAAAAGGCACCCGAGGAAGTCCAACACCTCTTCGACGGCGTGGGGGAGGCCCCTGAGCAGGCCCTTGGAATTGAGCATTCAGAGCATTAGGTTTTCTGCTGCAAGATGCCACTAGGATTTTGCTGCTGCAAGCGTTTCCCAGCAACAATTTCGACAGCTCGCTTCTTCTTAGCTGTGGTTCGAGTGTCCTGGAAACAGTTGCCATTCACAGGCTAGGCTAACTGGTTTTTCCTTTCAGCTCATATGCGCATGCGCACACTTTGCTTTCAGTAGCATGTGCAGACTAGTGATGTTCAGGTCTTTGTTTGGATTCAGGTTCCCGGGGGCTAGGCTAGTTTCAATTCTGCATGTTCCCGTCCGTCATATTCAGGGCTCCTCTGAGACTAACACCCAGTAAAGCGTGCCATGCCGAAGAAGGGCTGGAGAGCAGGGAGTCTGAGCATGTCTGCGCCCCTTATCCTTGGATCCCCCTGGTTTCATCCAGGTTTCGGGTCAGAGATGATCGGGGGATCCCAAAGATGTGGAGCTCTCAAGCCGAAGCATCCGAACCCCAAACCCCAAGCCCTAGGTAGGCCCTTGGGACACTTCATGTCTCCCTTACTGGGCTTAAGAGGTATCGTATTCGGGGAAAGCTTTTCAGGGGGTTTTATGGGCCATCCTGGAACCTCGAAGCGGCTCTTCCCAGGTGAGCGTGCACGCGGAGCCGGCCCCTGAAGCCGATGCTCCTTAAGCGTTTCAGGGCTGATGTCTCAGTGTTTATGGGTTAAGGGTTTAGGGTTTAGGGTTTGAGCTAAAGCAGCTAAAAGCTTAAAATTGCTTGCAAGCCCAAAGGCAGGGATTGGGGCTGAGAGCTTATGCTAGTCGAAGTTGGAATGCTTCGGCATGGTGCTTGGGGTGTAGGACAAGCTTTCGGGCAACCCTAAACCCTAAACCCTAAAGGTTTTAGGGTTCAAGACCATGCCACTAAGCTCCTGAAGCAATGGGCCCTGAAAAGTCCGCTTCTTGCAATCCCATGTGCCCAGTTTCACCCGGAGAAGGCCAAAGAGCCAAAGGGCCAAAGGGCCTGCCAATGTGTGGCTTTCAGGCTCCCCGGGTTACCCTAAACCCTAAACCCTACTTAGCCGCTTTCAACCCTTCGTTGCAAGTCCTGGTTGGGTTCAGTCGGCTTTGGGCTGACGTTTCTTGTGCCAGTGCAAGATGCCCAATATTCGCCAACAAAGGGCCCAGCGTTCATGTGAGGGTTTTGGTCTGAAAGGTTTTGGAGCTGATCATGTCAAACCCTAAAGTAAAGAAGCAAAGGAACTTGACAAGGCAAAACCATTTTTTTTTGGTTCGCCTTTTTTGTTCTCTCTCTCTCTCTCTTCCACTCACTTGCTCGCTCGCTCCATTTGGAAAGTGTGAAGGGCCTATACGACCCCCACAAGTGACCCTCTGTGTTGGGAGAGGCGACAGCGGAGGACGACGAAGGCACCCGCTCCGACCTTGGAGCTTTTTTCACGTTCTTGATGAGATCCAACTTGGGATGTTCCCCCTAAGAGTCCTTAACAGGGATGAAAGTACCCTCTCTTATAATGCCGATTAAGGACTGTTAGTATAAGGGGGAACATCCCGAGATCCAGCAGTCAATTCTGCACCCTTTTTTTCATGGGCTTCAAGATTTGATGGATGAAGGCGTGACTACAGTCTACTACCGGGGGCTAGGAAGTGTTGTGGCCGCGTCACAGCGTTTGAGCTTGGAGCCTAATTTTTGAATATGCCTTGTAGGATTTGATCTCGGGGCTTGCCACACTACAGACAATCCCAGTCTCACAGTCCAACAACATACAAGTCTGGGATCCACGTCGCCAACATTGAATGCATCTATGTGCCGCCATAGATTTCTGGTGACCAGCCGAATTATCTTCCCAGTGCCGGACAGAGTTTATCAACGTTCTGGGATTTAGGATCTAGAGACAGGATACTTTAGGTGCAGCACCCCTGTTCCCCGCGTCTTCTTTCGCAAGATGAAGCAAGTCAAGGCCCTGTTCGCCTCTGGGAATGTGGCTCGCATCCGAAAGGGCCCCAGCCCTTCCAAGATTCTCCCCTATCACTTCTAGCACTGTCTCGCGCTCTCATCTGTATCCAAACCTCAACTGGAACCCCACTCCGAGGCAAAGCTTCCAACAAGGCCGGGTTTTTGGTGTAATTGTGCGGATTCTTGTTTGTGGGGTTCAGGTTACAAGTTTTGGTTTCAGATAGTTTAGATGTCAGGGTACAGGATGAAGGGAGGCCTCCGATTTCTGGATGAAGGCATGTCTAGGTGGTTTTCAAAGGAGGAAAAGGTCTTCGTGAATAGAAGCTGTAGTCATGTTACATAGACTGGGGACATTGGTTGTGCTCCTGCTTTTGCTCTGTGTGTGTGTGTGTGTGTCTCTGTGTGTCTCTGTGTGTGTGTGGCTGTCTCCGTATGTGTTTGTGTGTGTGTGTGTGTGTGTGTTTGTGTGTGTGTGGCTGTCTGTGCGAGTGGCGTGTGCGTGTAGGCATGCAGGCGTGTGCGCGTATGGGCGTGTGGGCCTGTGGGCATGTGCATGTGCGCGCGTGCGCGTGCACGCGGAGGGGGGAGGGGGGGGAGTGTGTATGTGGGGGTATAGGGACATGCGTGGGAGGTGGGGCGCACAGGTGAGCGTGGTGCGTGGCATGGTGCATGTAGCGTGGTGCATGTGGCGTGGAGCGTGTTCCCTCGTGTGGCGTACGCATGTGGCGTGCACATGTTGTTTTGCACATGCGGTGTGCGCGTGCGTGGTGCACCCGTGGGGTTATTTGATGCTCGCGTGGTGTCCGCGTGTGGTGCGCGAGTGTGGTTTTGGCATGTGGTTTGTGCGTGTGGTGTGTGCTTGTGGTGTGCGTGTGGGGTGCACGTGTGGGGTGCACGCATGGTGTGCGCGTGAGGTGTGCACGTCACGGGTGCGCGCATGGGGTGTCGAAGGGCTTTCGGCCCCCAAAACCCCAGACCCATGCAGCAGCCTGAAAACCCCATAGTTGTTGCGACTTTCGGCGGCCTTCCGTACTACAGTATACTACACTGGATGTTGGGCCCCCTTTTGAGTTAGACTTGGGCTTCTAAGCCCATGCCTCCTCCCCTAAAGACCCCTGACCAAACTCCGATCCTTGAAGCTCCTCAACCTTGAGGGTTTAGGGTTTAGGGTTTATGGTTTATTTAGGGTTCTAAAACATAAAAAGTTCGCCTTCGCAATGCCAGGCTCTGAAAGAGCATCGGCCACTCCCCAACACTCTGCAGGCGCTGTCTAAGGGTACTCCCCGCCGCTCAAGCAATCTGACTTTAAAGTGATAGAAGTAATGTGGGGTTTACGAAAATAAGGGAGCCCAAATATAGACCCCCCCACCAGTTACCTTTATCATTCTTAATCAAATCGTCCGAACTTTTTTTTTTTTCTCGCCGGGGGGGGGGGGGGGGGGGGGTCGGGTGGGGTTTCCAATATTCCCGACCTTTTAAGTAGCAGCACTCGTTTAATAGTATTGACTGTGATCTCCAATTCTACTACCCAACTTTCAATCTTGGGGGCAAGTTGATGTTCATTTAGAGGAACAAGATCCTCATAAAGTTACAAGCCGATGCTATTGCACGTCGATGTATATAAGTAGCCCTGATTACAAAAGCTAGGCACAATAAGAATGGTTGTTTTGTTGGCGCAACAACAAGTCCAACAACAAACGCATTGCATCGGTTTGTAATGACAGTACGTAAGATACACGAGAACGTAGACGTACAAAAAGCATTTAAAAAGTGCTACGTTTGGCTGCACGAAAACGAGAAAAGACCTAAAAGCACCCATTCGCACTACCAGAATCCGGTAGTCACAGAAACGAGCCAAGAAATAGCGGCCGAGAGTACCGTCTTATATGGGGTTTACGATAGTAAAAGACCCTTCAGTTACTCCCAAATAGTAGGATCCCCTTATAATAAGGACCCCAATAAGGTACCCCTAGTATCGTAAACCCTAAGCCCTAAATCCTGAACCCTAAACCCTAAACCCCAATATCGGAAACCTCCATATTCGCTCAACACGGGAAAGCTGTGAGCTCAGCCAAGCAACCCTGACGGCACCAGGCGAAGGTCAACTTCCAAGCTTTTCAGGTCCGGAGCTTGGGGCACCATAAGGGTTTAGGGTTTAGGGTTTAGGGTTGGGCACATTTTAGGGCACTGATGGGGAAACTTTTCAAGACTTCAAGGCCTTCAGAAGGCTTTAAGAGCATTGGGATTCATGCTCCAAATTGGGACGAGATTTCCTTTTAGCTCAGTTGGGATACGACGTGCCAGAAAACTGAGTCGTAGTAGATAGGTAGAGAGGGCTACTTAGGTTCCTCTCCGAGACCGATGATACTTAAATGGCCAAGAATAGGTTTTGCTTTGGGGCTGTCATCGAGGCGCTGCCCCGATGAGCTGACTAAGAGGTTTCTTGGGGATGACTCTTTTGGCACCGTGCGATCTTTCAGAAGGACGCCGAGCAAACGCACGCACCCGCACCCGCACCCGCACCCGCACCCGCACCCGCACCCGCACCCGCACCCGCACCCGCACCCGCACCCGCACCCGCACCCGCACCCGCACCCGCACCCGCACCCGCACCCACACCCACACCCACACCCCCACCCACCCACACCCACCCACCCACACCCACCCACACACACCCACACACACCCACACACACCCACACACACCCACACCCACCCACACCCACCCACACCCACCCACACCCACCCACACCCACCCACACACACCCACACCCACCCACACACACCCACCACCCACATCACCCACCCACACACCACCCACCCACCCACCCACCCACCCACCACCCACCCACACCCACACCCACACCCCACACCCACACACACCCACACCCACACCCACACCCACACACCCCCACACCCACACCCACACACCCCCACACCCCCACACCCACACACCCCCACACACACCCACACACACACACACACACACACACACACACACACACACACACACACACACACACACACACACACACACACACACACACACACACACACACACGCATTCTCAAGAAGCCGCCCACGTGTCATGTGGCCCCTGCAGCTAAACCATGATGAAGGCTAAAGGTCGAGACTTTCATTGCCGCAGCTGCACGGAGACCAGCACCTACGGAAGTTCGATGCACTGCAGCATATGTGTCAGAACGGTACGTTGGACTCTTCATTGTTTGCGCGCCAGCGGGATGCTTTTGTATGAATGGCCTGGCTGCAATAGGCGAAGATCGAAGCCAAGCATCATCTGAGCAGAGCATGTGTCATGGAGGCCAATGGGTCTTTAACTCTGAAAAGAGCTCCGCAGCCAGTACAGCTTCTGACGAGTATCTGCCCAGGTCTATTTCCTGGTGGCCCAAGGTGGTTTCTGGTACACGAAGTGCAAGCCAGGCGCGTCCAGGAAGCTCAGTAGTCTGGAGCAACAAGAAGAGGCATAGACAAAGGCTCAGTAGCTATCGGAATAAGGCACGGGTTGAGGAGGAACAGTTGTTTCATGTCGTGAGACGTAAGAACTGGCGCAAGAATCAGTTAACTTCAACATCATGACAAGGGTCAGCTGTGTAGTAGTGCAGCGCGTGCGAGACTTCGCGAATGCCGACACATGCTTGAGCGGCAAGAAGCGAAGGGAAGGCTTACGCAAACGTTGACTCAACGCGACGTGAGCAT